AGTCAGCATGGATTTGTGAGGGGTAGATCATGCCTCACAAACCTTATTGAATTCTTTGAAGAGGTGACCAAACACGTGGATGAAGGTAGAGCAGTGGATGTGGTATACATGGATTTAAGTAAGGCGTTTGATAAGGTTCCCCATGGTAGGCTCATGCAGAAGGTAAGGAGGCATGGGATACGGGGAAATGTGGCAGATTGGATTCAGAATTGGCTGACCCTTAGAAGACAAAGGGTGGTAGTGGACGGAAAATATTCAACACGGTGCTCAGTTACGAGTGGTGTACCACAAGGATCTGTTCTGGGTTCTCTTCTATTTGTGATTGTTGTAAATGATTTGAACGAAGGAGTGGAAGGGTGTATTAGCAAGTTCGCGGACGACATGAAGGTGGGTCACACTGTAGAGATTCTAGGAATCCCACAACCGTCATTCATCTTAAATGAAGGATGTAAAAGGACTAATAACTATCATGGGTTTGTCAGTCTGTTGGAGCAATTGCTTCAACATTCTTCACAAGTAAATATCTGTATTTAGTCCCACCGATCACCATAACTCTATGCGGAGGACTGTTCTAGGTTACAAAGGGACATTGATAGGATGCAGAGCTGGGCTGAGAAGTGGCAAATGGAGTTTAACCCTGAAAAGTGTGAGGTGATTCATTTTGGAAGGACAAACTTGAAAGCAGAATACAGGGTTAACGGAAAGATTCTTGGCAGTGTGGAGGAGCAGAGGGATCTTGGGGTTCATGTTAACAGTTCCCTACAAGCTGCCACTCAGGTGGATAGAGTTGTTAAGAAGGCGTATGGTGTATTAGCTTTCATTAATAGAGGGATTGAGTTCAAGAGCCGTGAAGTTATGTTCCAGCTATACGAAAGCCTGGTTCGGCCACATCTGGAGTATTGTGTCCAGTTCTGGTCACCTCATTACAGGAAAGATGTGGAAGCATTGGAAAAGGTGCAGAGGAGATTTACCAGGATATTACCTGGAATGGAGGGAAGGTCTTACGAGGAAAGGTTGAGACAGCTAGGGCTTTTCTCTTTAGAACGACAAAGGATGAGAGGTGACTTGATAGAGGTGTCCAAAATGATCAGAGGTATAGATAGAGTGGACAGCCAGAGACTTTTTCCTAGGGTGGAGGTAGCTATTACGAGGGGGCATAGTTTTAAAGTGAGTGGAGGTAGATACAGGGGAGAAGTCAGAGGTAGGTTCTTTACTCAGAGAGTGTTCGGGGCATGGAATGCATTGCCGGAGAGGGCAGTGGAGTCGGCCTCATTAGGGGCATTTAAGCAGCTATTAGATAGGCATATGGATGATAGTATAAGGTAGCGGTGGAGGTTAGATAGAATTTAGGATTAGGGTAAAAGTTCGGCACAACAGAGTGGGCTGAAGGGCCTGTACTGTGCTGTACTGTTCTATGTTCTATCTTCCTTTGTGATCTGAGGAGGACTTCATGGGGCATTCCTCTGTTTTACTTTCTATACTCCAGCTACTTGCCTTCCTTTCACTCTCCTAATCCCTATCCTACCAAGTTAATGGAGATGACAGGTGAAAAATAGGTTTGTTTTATTCATCAGCTCATAAAGGTCAGCCATTTCTGCTGCTTGTCTAGCAGTTGCAACTCTCTGGATATCAACATGAGTTCTAATTATAAAATATAGTGAGTTTTTAAATTCTTCTAGGAGAATTATTTTTCTGAGTGCTTCATATGTGGTATTTACTCAGAGTCATATAGCATGGAAACAGACCCTTTGGTCCAACCAGTCCATGCTGAGCATAATCCCAAACTAAACTAGTCCCACCTGCCTGCGCTTGGCCCATATCCCTCCAAACATTTCTTATTCATGTACTTATCCAAATGTCTTTTAAATGTTATAATTGTATTCTTATCCACCACTCCTAGTGAAAATTCATTCTGCACACGAACCACTCGCTGTGTAATTGAAGTTGCCTCTCATGTCTTTTTTAAAATCTTTCTCCTCTCACCTTAAAAGTGTGCCCCCTCATCTTGAAATTACCCACCCTGGGGAAAAGAAATCTGCCATTCACCTTATCTATATCCCTCATGAGTTATAAGCCTCAATAAGATCCAGTGAAAAAAAGTCCCAGCCTATCCAGCCTCCCCTTATAATTCAAACATTCCTGGCAACATCTTTGTAATTTTTTTCTGAACCCTCTCCAGCTTAATAACGTCCTTCCTATAACAGGGCAACCAGAACTGCACGCAGTACTCCAGAAGCTCTAATGCACATTTCCACACGTTGAAATCACTTTGCTTTGCATTTACATATTCAATAAAGGTTTCCCGGACTGCATGATTGTAAAGCTTTTTTATTCTGAATAAACAACATGGATTATTGGCTCCTTTCTTACACTGCACTTATTGATATTGTTCTTTTAATTGTCACTGTGTTCTACGATAGTTGCTATTACGCTGTTTGTAAGCTAACAGATAATGGAAAACCCTATTTAAGAATGAAAATGTTACAAGTATGTACAAGTGACTCCTTGGTTTATGTTAATACTTCCTGCTAAATTCCAAAATTTAAAAAAAAAATACCCTTACTAATATTTAAATTTAGTGACAGAAACAGACTTGCTAGAGAAACTCAGCAGGTCCAGCAGCATCTGTGGAGAGAAAGTGGAGTCCAGTGACCCTACATCAGAACTTCCAGTTTCTCCAGCAAAACATTGAAATAAAACAAAGAACTTTAGATGCTGGCAGTGTTTAAATTTAGTGCCTTGCCAACCTATTTTCACCTTCAATTTTTGGTCTGACTAGCATAATAACTATTCAGTATTGGAACTTGCAGGAGATACTCTATCTGCGATAAATACAAGGTTAAGAAAAATCAAGCGGAGGACCCAAATGACAGACATTTGTTAAAAAACAAAAAAGGCCAATTGTCACAGACAAATCAACACTTCTAACTTTCCCATTCTTTCCTTTCCAGAAAGGATGGTGAGGCACAAGTGGAAATTGGAACAGAATGCTGGAGAATTATACAATGAATTTGAGGCAGCATGATAGCTCAGTGGTTAGCACTGCTGCCTGACAGTGCCAGGGACCCAGGTTCAATTCCAGCCTCAGGCAACTTTCTGTGTGGAGTTTACACATTCTCCCCGTGTCTGTTTCCTCCGGTTTCCTTCCACAGTCCAAAGACATGCACGTTAGGTAGATTGGCCATGCTAAATTTCCCATGGTGTCCAGGGATGTGTAGGTTAGATGGATTAGCCATGGGAAATGCAGTGTTACAGGGATGGGGTGGGATACTCTTCAGAGAGTCGGTATGGATTTGTTGAGCTGAATGGCCTGTTTCCACACTGTAGAGATTCTAGGAATCCCACAACCGTCATTCATCTTAAATGAAGGATGTAAAAGGACTAATAACTATCATGGGTTTGTCAGTCTGTTGGAGCAATTGCTTCAACATTCTTCACAAGTAAATATCTGTATTTAGTCCCACCGATCACCATAACTCTATGGTTTAACAAGTAAAAAGAAAAAAACTGAATATGATCGACAAGTTGTGAAAAATCTTAATGTTTCATACATTCAGCTACTTGTCAAAATCCCTCACGTGAAAAATAACTGTCACGTTACTGATATAAAACAGAATGAAGATAACACATGAGCAGAATAAATGTCAAATTCCACTCAACATAATCTGTTCAGCAATGTTCCAGAGCCTCCAGTGTAATTAAAAATTCTGCTTATCGGTACCTTGACAAGCAACATGAAGCTTTCAGGCATCTCCCCACCCTTCATTTTCTATTCACCTCTCCCCTAAGCACTACTCCCAGTCTGCCTTGTCTACCTGACAAGTGGCAGAACAATCTGATTAAATCTTTGCAGGGGGAGGGGGCTTACAGGCCTCCATGACAGGCCAAAAGTGATCACCATGGCGATGCATAATTACAGCTGTCAACAGCATCTATGATCCCGCTGGCATCAATCTGATTGCTCTCTGTAATAAAGATAGACAAAGCTTAGTGTGCACTCCCCTGCACCCAATCATGTTATCTGTTCCTTGCTCCATTTAGCTGACATGCAACATTCACACAAGCAAATAACAGCAGTAAGCATAACATTCAAGGCATTTTAATTGTTTTTTTTCCTTTATGCTGATGTCTTACAAGCATAAGTGTTATTACATAAAGCTCCTGCTGCAACATTAAATGAAGGAGGCTTTGGTGGGACAAGAACAGTAGGGGATGGAATATGTCCATTATCACTTATACTTTCAACAGGTTGCTTGCTTTAAAAACTGCAAATTGTAAAACTTGCAAGGGCAAAAGGTTTGACACCATTTTATCTCGTGGCAAACAGCAAATTTTCCTGCATTGCCATCCCTCTGAGAAAAGCAGTTGCTGTACATTTTTCATGAATGCATTTTTTTATTAAATCAGAAAGGTAAGTTTGACAGTGATTGTCTGCAGTTTCCGATAGGGTTGCCATCAGAAAACCGAGGCTAGACTGTGCCCTCTTGTCCAATGTGAAATTGCAACCAAGTTTCCACAACCATACTGTACTAATTAGGGGAAATTTATTAAGATCAGCCTGAAATGAGTCAGCCCAATCCAGTAGTGTAATCGATCAGAATCATTAAGTTCTAATGTCAGTGTTACAGGAACAAGAACGGGAATCATCTTTATGAAGTAAAATGGCCATTTTGGAATTCCAAATATATGTGATGAATTCCCTTTAATAAATTTTAATGAAATAGTTAAATTAAATAGATGACAACATTCAAATACATGAATGTATGATGAAGAGTCATATTCAATGCAAAAAGATTACTATTTGTCTTCACAGATACTGCCAAACTTGCTGATCATTTTCACCCCTTATGCTTTTCATTTCATATAAATAAACCAAGGGGGCCGTTAATGCTTTCACATCGCACTGAAAGGTCAAAACTGATCGTATTCAAATAAGTGTAGACAGTTTGGGATTTCATGAAAAGCCACTCAGCAGACAACTGAGTACTCAGCTAACTTACATTGGGCACGTGTAGAGGCTCTTTATATTGAGAAAGACGGCCAATCGAAGGCAGCCCAAAAGATTTGTAGGGATCCTAGGGAAAGAGGTTCAAACAAGAGGAAGCATTAACTGTAAGATAAAACACAGGAAGCAGCGTTAACTGTTCATACAATCCGAAGCCATTGACCAGGCTATTTTGGATTACTGAAGACATGAAATTACACTTGGAGTCTTTTCTCTCCTCGTTTTTACCACAGAGCAAATGACCAATAAACACCTCTCCCATTCAGAGAGGTTTCCTGATTTGCGTAACAAGTTACAAAATTGTTAGTGTGCTTTAAAGACGACAGAGAAAGTAACAGCACAAAGCCTTCAGGATGTCATAGGTAATTAAACGAGAATCATTTTATGGAAGGAAAAGAACTGAAGTTTGGGGAAACTGGGGGAGGGGGAGGTATTGTGCAACATGCACTATCTGACATTAGTCATATCAAGAGTATGTTTACTAATTATGAATTTCAACTTAATTGTCAATCAAATCTATCATAGCTCCAAATCCGTCAGATGGTATTTCTTATGAACTCTGATGCCAACTAAACATTACCTCTGCATAAACTCTGCATTCAATGGCCCAGCCATTGATGGGAATATCAGCTTGCTTGTGACAAAGTTGGTAACCCTTGGCAACACGGATCATTTCTTGGACCAGGTCCAGGCCAGTAATACATTCGGTGACAGGATGCTCAACCTGCAAGGTCACAAAGAAATAGTCGTCAAGGAAAAACAATGAAAGAAAAACACTGACACAAAGTGGGAACATGCACGAGCTCACCAGCCAAGGGCAAGACTGACACTTCAGCCATTACTTTTCAGTTCAGTAACAACAAAGAGAGGCTTTAACCAAAAACAGAAAATTAAAAATACGAACAAACACCCATACTTTCTCAAAAACAGACATTATTCTCACTGTGTCTCTCTCACTTTCTATTCATGCACGATCCAGACATAGGCAAACACACAGGCAATATAGAAACCACAAACACACATAACAGCACAGACACACCCAACACAATCTGGACTCAGAAGCCTGCGCTCAAACAACACTAACATACACATGCAATCCAGACACATGAAAACATATAGTCCAGACACAGACACACACTTGCACACACAATCCGGACACACGTAAAATCCAGGATGCAAACACTCATGTAAAATCCAGAGGCAGACATACTTACACATAAAGCACAAATACACACAAGTAAACACAGAAAAACATACCCTCATATAGTGATAGACACACAAACATACACACACACACAAATCACAGACATGCGCGCACAAACACACAAGTCACAACACACACGTCACAGACAAACGTGCATGCACACAAATCACAGACACACAAGCGCGCACACACAAATCACAGACACACAAGCGCGCGCACACAATCACAGACACACAAGCGCGCACACGCACACACAATCACAGACACACAAACACATAATCACAGACACACAAGCGCATGCGCGCGCACAAACAAATCACAGACACACAAGCGCGCACACACACAAATCACAGACACACAAGCGCACGCACACAATCACAGACACACAAGCACGCACACGCACACACAATCACAGACACACAAACACATAATCCCAGACACACAAGCGCGCACGCGCACAAACAC